CGTGCAGAAAAGCACAAGCTGCACCAACACTGTTCAACAACTTACATGAAAATACAAGCCAAAAAAAAGAGAAACTTCTTCCAACAAAGGGGAAAATAATGTAAATACCCCAAACTTTGAAAGGGTGTGAAATAAATAACTCAAACTTGCATATGTAATACATATACCCCGAACTTTATATAAAAAGTTGTTTTCACACCATTGTTATATGCTTTTTAGAAATACAAATTTATTGCCATAAGTACGTAATTTAAAATAATCTAAGCTTTATTTGGATGCGGTTAACATTCTTAATTTTCATTTTTGAAATAAATAATATTAATCCGATACAATCTAATTTTAATTGCATCCTCATGATAACTGTATTGTGTGTTTTAAATTACTGTATGTACTTAACCCATAAATTTATATTTTTTAAAAACATATTATTGTGGTGCTAATAATATAACTTTTTATTGTTGTACATAAAACTGAATTCTCAATAGATCAATCGCAAGACTCAATTTGATGGCTCTTCTTATATGGAGTTTGGAGAGGCATACACACAATATCGTTTTGGCAAAAAGAACAAAAAGAACAACAATATTAAAAAATGTTCACCAGAAAGTAATTTTTAATTGAGAACTATTAGAAGATAACACTTGTAGAATAAGCTTATAACTATTAGGAGCAAAGAGAAGGGGTGAGAAAAATGGGATGGTTAAAAAAATACGGAGTAGTAAATGTGTGTTTAATTCAGAGAGGAATTATTATTTTAAAAAATATCTAAAGATTGTTTTGATAATTAATATTTTGGTATATTTTTTTATATACTACATTACTACTAATATATACTTCGTATTAATTAATATAGAAATATATATATTAAAAATATCACAAAGAACATGTTTTATTTAACCCCAAAAGAGAAGTTGCAGGAAAAATCCATAGCACCAAACAAAAACACAAGATTAGAGAAACGGTGAATACTTATCCATTTCTATCCCCTTACTCTAATTCTCTTCAACCAAACATGGGCTTAGGAACAAAACCGAGGCAGACCAATTAGAGAAACGGCGAATTCGTAGACTGGCATTTCAATCCCTTTCCATTCTTTTTTGTTTACTAAGAAGAGATAATAAATGAGAGAAGAGGGATAACATGAATGGCTAACTTTACATTTATGTTTAAAATAACAACCTACACAAGGGGGACACAGAGGGAAAGAAGCCGGGTGCAGAACTTTAGTGGCATCCTATGATTCCTATCTAACCCTAAGGATTCATCGGTTGAAGGCTCTTGTTAATTTGACTAACACAGTTCATATAGGAGGGAGCAACATGACCCCTCGATCAAAGGATTACAGCTCGGCTAATATGCGAATTATGACTTTTGCCTCCATCAAGGGTTGACACCTGATAGCAGCCTCATCTGCGACAGAGCTCATACGAACACCTATGCATTACCATTCTGTCAAGAGGCAAGGCAGAGTGACTTGTCAAGTCCAGCCGGGAAATTATCACCTCTTCGCAATGGAGGACAACATCAATGGCCCCAGCTTGGGCAAGGCAAGCAATAACAAAAGAACAACAGAGAAGAAAAGGACTGGCAGCAGAAGCGAAGCCTCACCCTCGGCTAAACTACACAAACCAGGACAACACCTCGACTCCGCGAGGACAATGTCAATGTCAAACGTCGGGCAAAAATCAGTCAACCGAAGCTTCACCTCGGCTAAGCAGCCCCTCGGTTCCAGGCAATACTCAGAATCATATACTACGTAGTATTTATAGTATGAAAGTATCCAAAGCGACTGATTACGTCTTGTAACGTGCGATGCGCGATCAGGATAATGCTCAATGTGTTTTGTGTAACATAAATCTTTAATTATAAATGTTTGCACCTCAACCGAAGCTTCACTTCGGCTAAGCAGCCCCTCGGTTCCAGGCAGTACTCAGAATCATATACTACGTAGCGTTTATAGTATGAAAGTATCCAAAGCGACTAATTACGTCTTGTAACGCGCGATGCGCGATCTGGATAATTGCTCAATGTGTTTTGTGTAACATAAATCTTTAATTATAAATGTTTGCACCTCATAAATTATCTTTAATTATACCATACCATAATGTCAAACATAAATATATTATAAGGTATTACAATGGTATGCAAAAGGTCTTTTAAGACTGAAGTTTGTATGTTGGCCCATCTGTGAAGCTAGACTAAAATAAAACATAAGTATAATTTTTCTACATTACAGCTGGAATTGAGACCTTTAATTCTCCTAAGCTTACATAATTCTATGAAATCTCCACGTTTCATGTGGCATCTTCTTATAAACCGTAGGATCTGTTCAGTTGAGAACATTGACAACCCTTGTACTCCCCATTAACACCATTTTCTTTGATACTTTGCCTATAGTTACCAAGATTAATTTCTTCCAAACACATACCAACATCCTGGCAAAAAGAACAAGAAAAAGACATTAAATTCAAGTTGCTGTACAAAATATCATTCAGTGTAATTAACAGTACTCGGCCATAATCAGTCTTTTCTTCTTCTTTTTTATCCATCCCATTAACATTGGTCAATAGGATAACAACCCTAAACGTTATGGGTGTAGATTATGTTCCTTTATTAACTAACAATTCAGAACACTCGACTGTTTTTGGTCAAACTGAAATACCCATACTGAAATTTGACGAAAACATACAAACCCCTCTACACCCAGTTTAAAAAGAGGTAAATAAAACAGTGCGCTTTTGAAGATTGTACCAGGTCATGCACCTTTAGAAGATTCTATAGGGTCATTCACTTCCTCACAACCTTACCAAACAATAAAAAACATATTTCTTGCAAGAAATATGCATGGGAGCAAATGAACTTTCCCTCTACATTCATTTTAAAGAGAAGTAAAAAAATGTGTGCTTTTGAAGATTGAATAATGTCATACACCTTTAGAGGATTCTACATGGTCATACACTTCTGAAAGAGTCACCTTGCAAGAAATATGCATGAGAATCTTCAAATGATCAACTTCACCTCTAGTTCATTTTTTGAAATTAGAAATACCATCAAATTAGATCTTAAATAAGTGACTTTCGTCGTACACCATACCATATCCCGAACAGTCATAAGATTTCAACACTATGTAAGTTAGCATAAGCTCTCAAAACGTTTCTTAAAAGGTAGCACCGTATCATAGCCAATGATAAAGCAGGCTTGAGGCTTTTATTTATTTATTTATTTATTTATTTAACTTTACATGAAAAAAGGCTCATACATAAATAAAAAGTAACCCATACTTGTAAAATTTCATACAATTCAATTAACCAGGTGGAATCTTATAGATAAAATCCTCAATTATCATCCTTAAAGAATACGAAGTATATCAGCATATAGCTCATAAACAGAACTATAATTGTATGACAAAGTTATAGACTTCAAGAAGATAATCACATATATAGCTCAATGAATAATAAAGTTAGCCACAAGCTAAGTTTATTACAGAATACAGTCATAGTGATAACTTCATATTTTCACAACCCTAAAATGTTCATATGGATATTTCAGCAAACATATAGCAATCAAACCAAAAGGAGGGGTAAAATGAAATAAAACAACAACCTCAAATTATAATTAAGTAGATGCCAACAACAACACTTTCTGACATGATGTCAAACAACGGAATGCAGAAACACATAAGCAAGCCGAACAAGGCAAACATACAATTGAGAATAAAGCAAATATATCTCTGAACAAGGCAAAGGAAACATACAATTGAGATTTGAGAATAAAGCAAATATATCTCTGAACAACAATTGAGAATAAAGCAAATATATCTCTGAACAAGGCAAAGGTAACATACAATTGAGATTTGAGAATAAAGCAAATATATCTCTACACTTGTAGAAGAGGATAAAGAACTTACAAAAGGATGAGATGAAATCCAATCTCTGTCCAATACCTGGTGTCAAGCATGTATAGATGGAACACCCAAGAGTGCCAGGACTCATGAGTTTCTAAATGGTCGTTCGACAACCATGGATGCGTCAGCGTGTTTCTGAAAAAAAAAAACGCAGAAGATGGAGGGTCCGATCGTCCGGCAGAAGCAATGATGAGTAAAGGAAGGGTTAATAGACAACTATTCCAAATTGGACGTGAGCGTCGGAGAAATACAATCCATCTTGTGTAAACGGCAGGATTCCGTCACTCCTTTGCTTCATATGAATAAACACGGAGCAGTAAACTATGCACTCGGTACAATTATTTAGTGCACATACAGACACCAACACTTTTTTCCTGACGGTTATACCCCTAACATTATTCATCTTTATAGAATTGTAGAGATTATCTAGTCCAAGATCAATATAGTATGTGGCCCCGATAATATCGGGCGGTCCCCACTCCCGATGTGGGCCCCACGTGCATTTTACTATTCACGCGAAAAAATTAATACAAATTCACAACTTCGTAAATTCACTAAATATTTCATAGGGTTCAATAAATTATTAGCTTAAAGATAAATACATTTGGGGACGGTGTTACACTCCGTCCCAAAAAGATTGATACATTTTGTCTTTTCTTGGTCAATGATGGTTAAGTTTGACTAGTGATATCTTTTAATACAAAATTATTTAAAATATTAAAATTATATGAACATATTCTTTATTAAAAAATCTTACATAAAAGTATAAAATTTATAAATTACAAACAAATATAATACCTAGAATCATTATCTAAACTTTACCACAATTGACCAAAAAAGTCAAAATGTATTAATCTTTTTGGAATGGAGGTAGTAATTTTTTTTCTAAAACTATTTTGAGTTCGGACACGATCCGTTTGGTTTATTGTTGGTCAAACATCGTAAACCGTAAAATATTTTATAAAGCAGGACGGAGTATTTCTAAAAATATTTTAAATCCGACTTTTAGCAATAAAATTATTTGTGCATCTTTTAGTCTATTAATAATTTCTTTAATTTTTTGCCGTGTACGAATTAATTATTTATTGGCTTGTAGAGAACAACGAAGGGAGGCAATACCCCTTTCTTCTTCTTCCACATACTCGCTGGGCTTATCACTAACCCTAATTATAGATTTTCGATTCAATTAGATCCTCCATGGCCAGTGAATCCACCGACCACTCTCGTCGGAAGCATCGACGGTCATCTCTTTCCGATGAAGAAGTTAAGGATACATCAAAGCGCCGTAAGCACCGTCATCATCACCGTCGCGACCGTCACCACAGCAAAAAGCACCACGAAGGTGAATTGAATCCGGATATTGAAACTGATAAGGCTGAGGCTGAAATTGAGTACAAAAAGCAGGAACTTGGTGGGGTAGCTATAGGTCTGGTCAATGGATGTTCTAATTTTGCGATTGACTACGATATGGAGGAAGGAGAGATCATTGACGATATTTTACCTTCTGCTGCTGGTGTTGACGATTTGGATGGTAGAAATACTGAATTGGGTTTAGACAGGGAGACAGAAGATATTGTAGTCCAAAACCATCGTCTTCTGGATCTGAACAAATCAGATATGGTGTGTTCTGTTCTTTTAATATCGTCTAAGCTAATTCAGTAAATATTTTTTTTCTTTGGAAGGTTTAAATTTGGATGCTTTGGTTGATGGTAAAACTGAATTCAATCGTATGTAATGTAATTGTGGTTTAATTTATTTCGGGATCTTTTCTAATTTAACTATTTGTCTTCCTAGCTTCCATGTTTCTTTTGCTAAGCTACGTGGGTCATATTTTCTCCTCCCACCCCCTAAAAGATTTTAAAAGGGAGAATTTGACTTTGCACCCCGTGTTTTGGGTGATAGTTGACTTTGCACCCTATTTTCAAAATCATTAATGTATGCACCCCATTTCACTATAAAATCATTTGACTTTGCACCCCACTCCTTCATAATTTTGGGCTAATGTGGTGCATACATTAATGATTTTAAAAATGGGGTGCAAAGTCAAATATTACCCAAAACATGGGGTGCAAACTCAAATTCTCCCATTTTAAAAATATAAAATGCATATATTTATATGATATATATTAATGATTTTCTAATTTTACGATTGAACCAATGGGTTTCTGATAAGTATGTTAGCACCCGTTTGCATGTCACAGAGACACAGACCTGATACTTTGTATTCCATTCAGAGCTATGCACACTATTTGACTATATTCTTCAGGGAAAGTACTCTAGCCGTGTTCTGATTTCTGAAGACTGATGGCTTTCATTTTATCTGTAAGCAATAGTTGAGGTTTTCATAATGAAACTGTCATTGAAATGACCAGTTCTGTTTAATATATTGTCTACGATGGATAACTGAGGGAGCTTATTAAGTTTAACAATGTCTTTTGTTCTGTATTTTACTCCAGAAACATAATAAGGATCTATTAGGTGGACCTAATTCCAGCACGCCCTCGGAAGATAATTTGGAAAAAGTTGAGGTGAATTCAATATCTTCAGGAGTGGACAATGCAAAAAGGAAAGACAGAGAATGTGATGATTATAAGATCCACAAGCATGTTGGTCAAGACACTATATATAGTGAGGGACATCATGCCAATGGCAACTCTGATGGAGAACGCCATAGAGCAGGCCATACAAGATATGATGGAAAACACTCCCCTAATAAAGAAAGTAGAAAGCAAAGGAACCACTATGCTAATGAAAATGATTTCAACCAGAGAAGTTCTGTGACACTTGAGAGTCCTGGGAAGTGGCACACTGATAAAGATGGTTTCGATAATGAAAGAATGAGTGGGCATAATCGAGACTATCAATATGGAAGATATTTAAGGGAAAGGGGAGAGCGCAGTCCTAGTCATAGTAGATATGATAGCCGAGAGGTAAGGCATCGTAGCCGTGAGACTATTGAAAGGTACAGGGAAGCAAGTTTGGATATTGACAGGGATAGAGTCAAAGAGAAGGATCATGAAAGGGCAAGAGAAAATTACAGGGTAAGGGAGCGCGAAAGTGACAGAGAAAGAGCACATCCTAGAGAGAAGGAGAAGGAAAGGGACAGACATCGGGATAATGACAATGATGGGGAGAGAGGGAGGGAAAGGAGGAGAGATAAGGATAGGGACAGCCGAGGAGGTAGAAGTCGGGACAGAGAGCGGGAAAGAGACAGTGTCAGATCTAGCAGGCAATCTAGATATGACGATTTTGGCAGGAGCCACGGTGATCGAGATAGATATGGTGCTTCTAGGCATATTAGAGATGATGAAACTGCCCGTTGCTACAGAAATCAGTCAGGCAACGCCGAAGAAAACAAATCTGACAAATCAATAATAGGAATGGGAAGTGATAAGTTCAAAAGGTACATTTCTCTCATAGTCACATACTTTAATATTTCAAAATATGTATTAGGAGGTCTGAATGAGGTTTTAAAAGGCTAGTTTGGGTATCGAGGTGGCTTGTCCCGGAGAGGCGAGGCTTAATCCTTAAGGCGTATTGAGGCGTAAGCCTCAAAATATACAAACAGATAAAACTTTAAATAACTACAAATCAACTATAGATATGCATAATTATAAGTTCAAAAATCTCAAAACACAAACTGATCACATCATCAAAACACGATGGTTCAAAATGAGGATCTCAACACACAAACACATCATACATGTGACACAATGGAAGCTTAATCACCATTTCTTATATCTTTATCACCACCATCATATCTTATAGCCTTAACCCCATCACCCTTCCATCACTACTTTCAGAATATTTTAATAATTTTCACTTGGCAGGCTTGTTAGGGTTTACAAAGTATATGTCGACACATGTTTAACATATGGGCCTTTTACAAAATAAAATTTGCTGGGACCTATTTATGTTAAAACCATGGTAAAAAACAAACAAAGAAAACCCCGCCTCAAAGAACGCTTTAAGGCGTGCCTTGAGGCGTATCTCCTCAATACTTTTGAGGTGTATGCCTCTTATCATGCAAGAAAATCTAAGCCTCAATACTTAATCTACACGCCTCACATTGGGGCGTGCCTCAAAAGTCAAAACCTGACTCTTAACCTTTTTTTTTAAACCATGGACCTGACATTATTAGGAATAAACTTTTATGGCTTTTGGTGGGTTTCAGAGACGAAGATGAGCAAGAGGAGTATCAGGAGAAAATCACGATGCAACTTGCTGAACAAGAAGAAGATACTGAAAGGATTAAGGAGGAGAGTAGACGGCGTAGGCAAGCCATACTTGAAAAGTACAAGAATAGGCAGCTACCGATACAAACTAAGAATTCTTCAGAAGAATGTGGTATGTTTTCATATCTTTGATGTATTTAGGGTTTTAACTATTTTGTTGTTGATTCTCTTTCCCTATCTATGTGCTGATTTGCAGTTCCATAAATTCAGTTTATATGAATAATTATATTAAGTGGCTTGCATTAATATGTGTGTAGGCCAACCTAGGAACTTGATTGTGGGAGGAAGACAGTTTTAAACAGTGTTCAAGAGTTTTATATATTAGAATTTATTATATTTTTTGAATAATTAACTGTTGAATTGAACAAATTTCGACTCCACCAGGGAAATTAAAAACAACTCACTTTTGGGGACAAAGTAATGGTTTCTTCTTTACTACATTCCTATTTTTCTTAAAGAGTGTTTGTGTTTGTGTACATTGAGAAGTGATTTGTTTAGAGATTATATGAAAAATGCTTAATAATAAAAGCGGCTAGTGTTTGAAAATAAAATGGTTTTTGAAAAAGTAAAAGTTAGAGTGTTTGATAAAAAATAATTTTTGTGTAATAGAAAGAGTGAAGCAGTTGAGGCTTCTAACATTTGGCTTTAAGTGCTTCGTTTAAGCAGAAGTACCTGTTTGAAAAACAACATTTAGCTTTTTGAAAGCTAAAAAATGGAAAGCACTTATTTTAAGAAAATGAAAACACTCCCATTATTTATTGTCCCTGGATCTTTTGCCTTCTTACTTTTGTTCCTTGGTGTGAATTTTTTGTGGATTAAACAGATAAGTCCGTTCAGGGCAATAATCGTGTGCCAGAAAGTGATGCTAGAACCGATGATACAGACACTTCTGCTGGTGACGCAGATTTTTCAGTAGGAAAATCACCTCGCCAGGATCATCATTCTGTGAATGAGCTGACCTCTGGAGTTGGTGGACTAGGACATGGTACTCCAAAGGTACTATGACTATTACTGCAACTGCCATTTATTTTTAATAATCAGTTTCAATCTCGAATTCTGACTGGAAGTTGATTACATTTCTCTAGCTACATGAATTGATGGGCGGATGTATTCTTATTGTGTATGCATTATTTTGTGCATTGTGTGTGTAAATAATTCATACTCCTATAAGGTTTATTCAAGGATTATAACCGTAAATTCAGAAAACTTGCTGACATCTGAGATATTTTAATATTGCAGAGTGAGAGGTTGCATGACATGTTCTGTGATGATATATTTGGAGAATCACCTGCAGGAGATCGTAAGCAAGTAAGTCTTACATGTATCTCTGCACTGTAGCTTTTATTTGTTTATATTGACATCAACAAATATCCAAAGATGTTGCAGGGCCTTGCAGGCACTTGAGATCATCACTATAAGATTCTGTATAATTTGTGCCTGCTTTTTATGTAAAAAATCTGATGTATTGTTTTAAATAAAATGTGATCAAAGAATCAAAGAAAAGGTAGGAAATATTTGCAATGAGCAATTGGGTCTGGTTATTCTTGTTATAATTTTGATCTTGTTTCTGAATTCTAAGAGAAGAACTCATAGTAAAGCAATTTTCTATTTTTAATGTTCCGGACCACGTCGATAGGAAACCATATGCACTGAGATATTTTGATATATTTGTTTTCCCCACAAAGTTAACTAAGCTTTTTTTTTTGTAAAAAGTGGGTATTGGCTATAAGCTCTTTTTCATGTGGTAATTATTGTTAACAAATAACAAACTATACTGCTTCCATTTTCACACTGTTGGTGTAAATCTTTCTTCTTTTGTTTTCATTTTGATGTGACCTTTCTATTTTCCATTGCTTTCAGTTGACTGAGTATATGTGATTAGATACATTTATTTGCAGACAATTATATTCATGATTTTTTATTGATTTTCTTTTTAAGGGTAAAGGAGATAGTTTAACCATTGAAAGAAGTGGTCTTCATGATAACTGGGATGATGCAGAAGGTTACTACAGTAAGTTGTCTCTGTTGACTACTATGGAGTATTTTTTATTATCTTTGTCAAGTTTCAATTATTAATGTGACCTGAAGTGTCATCGTCTTCGTTGTCTCAAAAACAGTAATTTTTTGTGAATTTTGTTTCATTGTTGTCTTTGCTAACTGATAAATGTGCCCTTAGAAAACACTATCTCCTGTTTCGATAAAAGTTGTGATGTCTTGTGATACAAACTCATACACAAACGAATATATAAAACTTTAGTCCCTAATTCTGAACTTGTTGATGTAATTGGGTAATTGAGTGGTGCGGAGTATTAATTTACCTACTTTCTATTCCCATTGGTGGTTTGCCATTTGTGAATCTAATTCTTTTATGTCTTCTTATATATTTATTAAGGTTACCGATTTGGAGAGGTGCTTGATGGACGATATGAGATCATTGCTGCTCATGGAAAAGGAGTCTTTTCTATGGTTGTCCGTGCGAAAGATCTAAAGGCTAAAACTGGCGATCCTGAAGAGGTAGCAATAAAAATGATCCGTAATAATGACACAATGTATGTTCTGTTTTTATTCTTTCTCCATTTCGTGCAGGCCTGTAGCTTGCTTTACAAGCAACCTAATTTTCTTTGGTAATGTGAGACATAGGTACAAGGCTGGTATGGAAGAACTGGTGATATTGAAGAAGTTAGTGGGTTCTGATCCTGAGGATAGGCGCCATTGTGTTCGCTTCCTCTCTAGCTTTAAGTACCGGAATCATCTCTGCTTAGTTTTTGAATCTCTTCATATGAATCTTCGAGAGGTTTTGAAGAAGTTTGGTCGTAACATTGGACTAAAGCTTACTGCTGTGAGGGCGTATGCAAAGCAGCTATTTATTGCTTTGAAACATTTAAGAAACTGTGGTGTTCTCCACTGTGACATCAAACCAGATAATATGCTGGTACATGACTTCCCTGGCTGTGCTTTCCTTTTCATTTGCCTGAGCTCTCTTCGTTCCCGTAATTGAATGATCTGATTCATTTTTCTTATGCCAGGTGAATGAGGCAAAAAATGTCCTGAAGCTTTGTGATTTTGGTAATGCCATGTTTGCTGGAAAGAATGAGATTACTCCATACCTAGTGAGCCGTTTTTATCGATCCCCTGAGATTAGTAAGTATTTTTGTTTGTTTGCATTTTCTTCAGCAACTTGTTTTTTCTTTAAACCCTCGGCAGAATTATGACTACTCCCCCCCCCCCCCCCCCCTAAATGAGCTATTTTCTTGACAAAGTACATATGCATATTTCTTGATCATTTCTTCCATATTATGTTTTTCACTCGCCTCTCTGAAATCCTGTTGTCACTTCCTAAGTTCATTGTTTTTCTTGGGCAGTTTTAGGCCTGACTTATGACCACCCAATGGATATGTGGTCAGTTGGTTGCTGCTTGTATGAGCTTTATACGGGGAAAGTTTTATTTCCTGGCCAAACAAACAATGACATGCTTCGCCTTCAAATGGAGTTAAAGGGCCCATTTCCTAAGAAAATGCTTAGAAAGGTCAGTTTGACCAGTGCACTTCAAATGTCTCTTACGCACTCAATGTGATTGCTGGGTTTGTCCCGTTTGGGATCCTCTTTTCTCTCTTTTTGTCTGTCTGTAGTGTTGTGTTGGGCATTCTCCTTGGATTGTTTTTAGACCTTGTAAAACATGAACTGGATTTGGATACTCACCTTTGCTTTTCTTATAAACCTTTACAGGGAGCTTTTATGGATAAACATTTTGACCAGGACCTTAATTTTCTTGCTACAGAAGAGGATCCCGTGACAAAGAAGGTAACAATATCGTGATACCATCTTACAAATTTGTTTCTATGGTTGATTGCAATTTGAGTTATTTATAAGTTAGGAAGTTCATTTTGACTCCTTGTTTGACATGCAGGCTGTAAGAAAGATGATTGTTAATGTAAAGCCAAAAGATATTGGTACAATTGTTCTGGGTTCTCCTGGTGAGGACCCAAAGATGTTCACACACTTTAAAGATCTTCTCGAGAGAATATTTATGCTTGATCCAGACAAGAGACTCTCAGTTTCACAAGCACTCAGCCATCCATTCATTACTGGCAAGTGATCAATGATGATGATTTTGACTGCAGTCTACAGACATGCTGTGTTGCCACTAGATTCTTGTAGAGTTATGATGACTAAATTTGGATACGCTCTTCTAACCATGGGCATTTATATTTTTTATTATATACTCTGCTGGTATAAGTGCTGCGGACACAAGTGCTTGGCTTGATAGAAGTTGGAAGAGAATACATATGATTGGGAGATCCCCTCTCGGCTGTTCTTTCAGTGGAATATTTTCTGGTTCTATTGTAAGATAACTTGCTGATGGCATTTTTCTCCCGTTTCTATTATTATTTAAAGATGTACTTGGATACAATTATCGCAATTGTGAACGGTGACATGCTAAAGATTTCACTTTGAAAGAAGCATGTTTCTCAATGTATGTGTACTACTGATTTCGGCCATCACTAGCTTAAAAATTTGATGTCGATTCCTCAACTTTGTATATACTTGAATTTCTTTTGCTGGCCTACTGCTATATATTAAGATCTAACTGTACTGTCATCATGTCCCTTATGTGTTTGAATTTGTTTGGGTCCTGGAGAATCTAATTCGGCTTTTCATTCAGGATGTCTACCAAGGTTATGGAAGCGTTCACTTCTTTAGTTGCTTGAAAGGCACCCTGGAGAAGGTATCTTGGTTTGTTCGTTAGGAACTTATTATGAGAAATTTGCACTTGTCATCCTTGTCCCCCATTAATGCTAACTTGTTTATTTGTTGACATCGGTCTTGGACTCATTATGCATTTGAATTTGGGTCTACTATCTGCAAATGGTTTGCTTCGTTGTTGAATTTACACATACAGTTCTGAGAGTTGAGGTAGTCGATATGGTGACTAGACATTAATCTTTCACTTAAGCACTTGTATTTTTTTGAATTTTTGGGGTAGTTGGGGATTTTTTATGGAAATCCTTTAACTGAGATCTGATAACTCCCATGATCTGATTTAGTAACCAGTGCTTGAATAGCTGAATGCATTGTTTGTCATTTTTTTGCGTAAAAGAAGTTTGCTAATGACACTGTATTGCATCTGATCCATGATGTGTTCATGCTGGAGCATTGTATATCTGGAGATGTTAAGAAGCCTGGGAACTGAAAGTATTAAAGAGTGAGTTGTCCTTTCAATTTCTCTGCTGTCCATTGTTGAGAAGACATTTTTTTGGCTAAATGTAGTATTTTTTATTGGATTTTATCTTGATAGGGTTGGCTTCATGGTTCTGCATTTATAGTAAGTACCCTTGCTTTTATTTTTATTTTTTTGTACTGCATGGCTGCGTAAGCCCCAAGTTATTGGTGACTATAGCTTGTTTCAACCCAAATCAAGCCAAGATGTTTCCCACTTTGAGGGGTTAGGTAAGTTCAAGAAGTATTTTGGTCATTGAAGCAAAATGTGGCTTGGGTTTTCAGAAGGTTGATGTATTGTGGGTGTAAGCGGAAGCTTACTTTAAGATTCAAGTTCCAACAGCATAGATTTTCGGTTTATATTACACATTTTAAAATACACTCTGACAGAAACTGGAAGGGTCAATAGAGATGGTGAAATACTGAAATGTGATTTGCGGGTGCGTAACAGTACTAGGTTAACTATTATATGTCACGCTCAAATTGTCAGATTAAACTTCATCTTTCGTTTCATTTTGTTGAAGCTAATAGTGACCTTTAATTTTGGCAAGATCTTTCAAGACGTTACTTAAAAGACTAAGCATTTGCTAATAACATTTTGAATGATTTATGTGTTATCTGAAATTGATATGTGGATATTGGCTACCATTGGGTCTTGAGTAATTAATTTTTAAATTTACTGATAACACAAGTCCACCAAAACTACGTAGTTGGATTTCATGTGGTGAAGTAATGAACAATGGTGCAATAATGCCCCATTGTGGTGAAATTAACCACAACAATGCAACATCCTTCTCTTGTATAAGTTTGAGGGTCGTCAGTTTGATTGAAGTTGGAACCTGAAGAAGTGTGCAACGTCATAATTGGGGGCTGAATTTGCTACATTCTATCTTTCATTTTGTTTCAAATTATTCGTTGATGGTTAGTGTCCTAGAATTGTGGCTTAAACTAATTAATTGGTGGCCAGCAGGCCAGGTTTGTAACAATAATGATTTCAAAAAAAAAAGATCAAACATCCTTGAACTCGGGTGAAATTCGAACCTGTGACCTTGACCTTGGTAATGTGATGCCATAGGACACAATTTCACAAGAAGTTTGATTTATTTATTTTACTGAAAACCTAACTTTTTTTCTCGAGTCATAATTTACAAAAATTTTCTTAGAATAAACTTTTCTTCACCAGTTGTTTTCGGCCATCTAAAAAATGTCAGGTGTGTATTTCCTAATGAAATTTCAATTGTTTTTTCTTCTAAATAACTTCCCCAAGCCACTTGGGGAATGTCCACCCGACCACCCCTAGTTAGGGGTGGACCCGGGCAGGTTCTGGGCCTGGGTCTGGGTGGGCTATTTTTTGGGAAAGGGTTATCTGGAATCGGCCGGAGTATAAACCGGGTTCAGGTCGGGCCCTGTTCTATGTTTTTTTGCTTTCTAATTAATCCCGACCCCCCTCCCCCAAAACACCCAAAACACCCAATCCTAACCAAGAAAAACAAAAAAAATTGAAAAAAAAACTCGGGCCCGTCCCGATTGGGCCAGTTCAAGGAAAACATGACCTGAGTCTGGCCCGGCCCAAATGGGTAAAAGCCCGGGCCCGGTTAGCACCAACCGGGCCGGTCCGGGCCCGCACAGAAGTATGCTGGGCCGGTTTCGGGCTGGGCCGAACCGGTTGGGTCCATCCCTACCCCTAGTAATGACATTTAACAAAAATTGTCTAAGCCATACGCTCTTTAATTCTTTATAATTCCTTTGCCTTAGAAGATCTAAATGACACTTGTTAATATTTTCAAGACCCCAATTAGGTAGAAACTTTTCTTTTTGTATGATTTAAAAATAATATATTTTCATGACTTCTAATTTTATGATAATGAATCATTTTGACTTTAAGATCATATATCTTGGACAACTTCCATGACATTAGGTAGGGGTGGGATTGGTCCGATCCGGGTTGGATTTTTGCTAAACCCGAAAATTACCCGTAAGGTATCAGGTTATGAAAATTAGGGACCGAAACAAAGCCCAATACAAACCGCAAATAAAATTAATAAAAACCACAAATATTAGTCTTCAAAATCACCAAGAATTCAAATCCAAAGAAGACAATTATCATAATATTTTATTTTAGATGCATGAAAATAATAATATAGGTGTTCTAAAAATGTTATGAAATAATATTTATGGATAAAAATGTGACTAAAGTTACTATAAATATGTTTTCATGGTCATTATGGTAAATAAATTGAACATATTTGTAGTCACTAAAAGTTATAAAGTCAGTTTTTCGTCCATCATGATTATAATCATATATTAGGAATTAATTTATAAATTATATTGGTATATTATATTGATTTAATATGAAAGCTAATTGTATCGGGTTATTGATCCGAGCCGGGTTATAGATTTTAGGGCCCGTTACTGAGCTCGAAATTTCGGGTTCGGTCCGTTTTTTATATTCAGGTCGGTTAAAAAGAAAAAACCCTGACCGATATCATAATTCGGGTCATGCCAGGGCCGGTTTCTGGTTTTCAGTTCGGTTTTTCCCACCCCTAACATTAGGCATGTATAGAGTATACAAAGTTCAATGAGATAAGTGATACATGAGAGGTGAACAGTGAATAATATAAACTTGAGGGAAAACTAATCAACCTTTTGAACTTCAAGGTTGAGTTTACTACACATGATCGACTTTTAAGTAGGGATGACCGGGTTGGACTAGGCCCTGGGCCAGGATTGGGGCGGGACTGGGTTTTGGGATGAAGGCCTGGTTTTGGCCTGGGTTTGGTCGGGCTGGTCCACCAAATTAGCATCCCGTAGCCCGCCCTGAAATCCCCCGGTTCGGCCCTCTATTCTCGGTCTGGGTCGGCTGGTCGGGCCGGTCCCGCAAAGCATCGGGCTGGGCCGGGTACCAGGTCGGGCCGAACCGGCCTAGTCTATCCCTACTTTGAAAAGGCCAAATAGTAATTTACCCTACTTCCAATAAGAGCAGTAGAACTGCAAATTGGTGAAAACGTCCGTAGTTGGTTAAATATAGTGTGGAATTAAATGTGGTTTATCTAGTGGCATGAAAAAATAGTTCAAAAAATGTTGACTTTTAAGAAAATGTTGAAATACATGGACGTGTATAAGAAGTTTTTTTATAATATTTTTTGCCCAAAATCATAATTGAGTAGAAACTAAAATTAAACACGCATTTAATCATATATAACTCTATAGCAAATCATATTACTCTATAAAACATTTGCTATCGAGTACTTCGTATAATCTATTAAGGAGTGCTTGAAAGTAGGGATTAAGTAATTCGTAATTTGTGTACTTTTGCACTGCACTAAATGTTTTTGCTCGAAAATCATCCTGAATTTGTGTACAATCTTTGTAATCATGGCTTTGAGTCCAAAAAGATTGAAACATTACCCTCGTTATTCCATCCGGAAACTCCTTACAATATTTGCATCCAAAATGCGTCTTTCTTCCTCACCAATATAAGTAAATTTACATGATAGATGATATTTGTGAATAACAGAATACTAGAGGAAGAATGTTGTTAATTTCGTTTTGCACTTTAACATTATAGCCTTTTAACAATAATTTATAGTAATACATGGAAGAATATTCATCTTGTATATATGAATATCAAGATATCGAGTGAAATCAAATATGATTGAGCTATAGTCTACAAATTAAAAATCAATTGATCACATCGTAACTTTAGTTCATAAGAATATAACAACACGAGTTTTGAAAAATTTATTTGTTGCTATCTCAGATCTGATCTGAAATATTTGGATATAAAAATCAATAAGGAACATTATTATAATGGATCTACATATAATAAAACACATTAAATATTAAAACTTAAAACAAACATGAATTAGACTTTGGAACTCAGCTGGATGGAGATTCAAAAAGCTTGTGCAGTTATGTAGATGATCATCGTACTACTCTACTGCCTTGGTGACTTATGATCATCGTGCAATGTTTTACTTTACTGAAGTCCACATCTTCATACATTGAAACATGTTTAGATTTTTAGGACACATTTTAATATTCTAAAACTCACTTGCTGACATGCATTTAAAGTTAGCTCCTATGATGTGTCTAGTTTTTTTTTTAAAATCGTTGGACGCACGTTTTCCCGTTTAAAACGCACCGACATTGTTGTTCGTTTAAAATGCGTTTTTTGATAAAAAAGTAATATGCGTTTCAAACGGCAAAAAGCTAACTGGCCTTTAAATAGTGCGTCTCTGCACCCCTCCGGAATGCCTTAGTCGGATGATGACTCCGACATTCAGGACGATCTCGATTTTTTATGGGATCTTGATAATAGTGGGATAGCAGACCTCCAATCTTGTGCCAATGACAGCGACTTTGCTAAAACATACAATCGAATCGGTGAAGATTGTTTGGTGGAAGTGTGGAACCTTAGCTGCTACTGATGTTTTGAGTGGTCAGCTTCATATTTGTACTACTTTAACACTAAACAAGAGATTATATGTAAGTTTATGTTTGAGGTGCAAGGTGATGTACTCTTTACTGCATGCCTTACAATTTTATCTACTGACTTGACCTTTTCTCCTACATCAATTTAATGTATGAAAATTTTATGAAAACTTGACATACAGTAAACCAAATTGAAGTTTCAAGGGGTCGGGGCACCCTCCTAAACCCATCCATGTACATGATACAAAGTTTTTTTTTACACCGACAAAGACAAATGTTACTCCCTCCGTCCCGGAATTATCTTCATTCTTTCCTTTTCGATCCGTCCCAAATTTATCTCCTTTTTCCCTTTTTGATAAAGAATATGTGGTTCACAACAATTCTTACACATTTCTCTCTCCTCTGCATAACTCTCCACCACACAAATACCACTATCTTAAAACCCGTGCCCGGTCAAAACCGGAGTTAAATATGAGACGGAGGGAGTAAAAGTTAGTAACTATATATGTATATATCAATGCGTGAATGTAAATGTTGTGTGTAATGTACCTTCCATAACGCTTTTCTGAGCCACGAGAAAGCTGACCCGTTTTTTTTTGGATAAACCAAACAGGAGATCGAGTCAATCGTCATTAATAACATGATAATAAAAAAATAATGAATTAATTTCACTTTTGATTTTGAGTTTTGTATCAATTATTCAATTCCATATTTTTTGAAAGGAAAAACCGCTTACATTAATATCAATAGAGAGACCATGTGACACCGCACCCGAACGTTCTAAAAATTCAATTTAAATTTCAAAGTTTATGTATTGATTTTTCTATTATCGAACAATTGTAAAACGATTGCTGTTTTAAGTAATGCATGGTTGATCATACTACCGTTCGGGCTCGTATAATAGTAATGAGCTTTCAAATACTTATTTGGGCCATCTTATAAAATATAAGAGCCCAACATTTTGTAAATAATGATACATAACCTTTCAACACAAGTTAAGGAAGGTCGGGCAGCCAAAACATTATTTTGGGCCCAATCTGCTAAAAATAGTATGTACTCAAGAATGACATCTTAGGCCCACTTGAGGGTAACCCACACGGCTAGTAGCCCATCAATATGAATACTAATGTCATAAATAAGTGATAGGATGATTAGAGAAGAATACAAATGCCTATTGTCTCATTTGTGACATTATTGAGCTAAATAATGCGAGTAGGTTTTTCTTCTATAATATTCATCATGTAAATTGTTGGGATGATCCTACACATATTGGAGATCAATAATATGATGTAGGGAGTTGACTTGGTCTATATAAATTATAGTGAGTACAAAAAGACATCTCATGACAAAGATAAAACAATAGGACCCATCTTCCCAATTTTGGGAGTATTTGGTAGATATTTTGGACCCCAATTTGATTGAGATCGATTGGGAAGCATTCCACATGTCTTGAGTGTGAAATAATGAAACAGGATACTCTCTAGGAGTCCTGTCAGATATATTTATAATAAGGAAGAGTTTAATGTAGAGTACAATTCTAAGCCTGTAATAATTCTATTACACCCCCTCAAACTGTGCGGGAGATACAACGCGCATGTTGTCTTTTAAAAAATGAAAACGCTGACTAGAAAGACTCTTGGTAAAAATATCTGCCAACTGCAAATGCGTAGGAACATGTTTGACAATCAAATCTCCATGAGCAACACGTTCGCGAACGAAATGGTAGTCAATCTGAATGTGCTTACTGCGGGCATGCTGAATAGGATTAGCAGTCAAATAAGAAGCTGATACGTTATCACATAATAAATGAACTGGTTCGGTTATGGGAAAACCGAGCTCAAATAGAACCGAACGAATGTGTAACGTATCCTGAACAGTATAGGCAATTGCTCGATACTCGGCCTCTGTAGAAGACTTGGACACAGTTGGTTGCTTCTTCGATTTCCAGGATATCAGATTAGGACCCATAAATACTGCAAAACCTGTGGTTGACCGAGAAGAGTCTGGACACCCTGCCCAATCTGCATCTGAATAGGCAAGAATACACGTGGGTTTGGCCGAATGCTGAAGCCAAAGACCATGCTCTCTAGTACCCTGCAAATACCTGAAAATCCTTTTGACTGCAAAAAGGTGAGTAGTACGGGGAGCATGCATAAACTGAGACACCAAGTGGACTGCATAAGTAATATCCGGCCGTGTCAAAGTTAAATACTGTAGCGCACCTACCATGCTTCAGTATTCAGTGGAGTTTGAGAGCAACTCACCATCAGACAGGGATAAAGTGGTGCGAGACGCTAAAGGTGTGCAAACGGGTTTAACGGTATGGAGATGAAAGCGAGCGAGAAGATCAGACACATATTTAGATTGAGAGAGAAAAAGACCATTACCAGATCGATGGGACTCAATTCCCAAGAAATAATGTAAATCACCAAGATCCTTCATGGCAAAATGATTAGAAATAATAGAGATAAACTTGGTAATGGTGGATGAAGAATTACCAGTAATAATAATATCATCTACATATAATAATAAATAAATGATGTAATTATTATGGCGATAAATAAATAAGGAATTATCAGACTTACTACAGCAAAAACCTTGCTGAAGAAGAAAGCTACTAAATCTATGAAACCATGTCCGTGGTGCTTGCTTAAGGCCATAAATGGCTTTTCGCAAACGACAAATATGATTAGGGAATTGTGGATGTATAAAACCACGGGGTTGACGCATATAGACTTCTTCAGTAAGATTTCCATGTAAAAAGGCATTTTTAACATCAAGTTGACGAATTACCCAGCCAAAGGAGACAGCAAGAGTGAGAACAATACGAACAGTAGTTGGTTTAATGACAGGACTAAACGTTTCAGAAAAATCAATCCCAGCCTGTTGATTAAATCCCTGTGCAACTAATCTAGCCTTATGGCGCTCAATGGACCCATCAGAATGATATTTTGTTTTATAAATCCACTTACAACCAACTATATTCTTAGTACTGTCAAAGGGCACCAGATCCCACGTATTATTATTAATGAGAGCATTAAATTCGTCTGCCATAGCCTCTCGCCATTTAGTCTGTTTATTAGCCTCAGTAAAGCATGTAGGGTCTGCTGAATTAACAATTGTACTTAAATTAAAAATTGTTTTTGGTTTAAAAATTCCCGATTTAGCACGGGTTTGCATGGGATGCATGTTGACCACGAGTGGCGGAGTAGAGACATGAACTTCCGAGAGAGGAGTGGCAGGAAAAGAACTTGCTGGGGAGGCGGGAGGACTCGGGTCAGTTGTTTCGGAGCTGCCGAGGACGTTGAAGGACTGTGGGTAGATGGCGTGTGTGGTACCGAAGGAGTGGATGTGATCGGACTGGCCGGAGCTAACGGAAGCGAAAAGATAGATGAAATTACGGCGGAGCTATGCGGTTGTTGGTCTGCCGAAGGAGAAAGAGATGGGCTGGAAGTGAGGGAGAGAGGTGAAGATGTGCGGGGGGCAGTATCTGGTGAGGAGGGACTAGGTAGAATAGTAGATCGGGGCATGGAGATGGTTTTAAATGGGTAAATATCCTCATGGAACCTAACATGACGGCTAACATAAACACGGCCAGTGATAGGATCAAGACAACGGTAGCCCTTATAACCAGATGCACAGCCAAGAAAAACTCGCATGAAAGAATAATCAGGAATCCGATGAAATAAAATTTGGTAAGGGGAGAGGCCATTTAAAGTGGGAGTGGGTAATCTGTTAATAATATATGCAGCAGTAAAAATAGCATCAACCCAGAATGTACTCGGAACTGATGCCTCAACAAGCATTGTTCGAGTTAATTCAAGGAGATGACGATGCTTACGTTCAACAACTCCATTTTGCTGAGGTGTGTCAGGGCATGATTTTTGAAAATAAATACCATTGGATGAGAACAATTGCTGCATATTATGATTAACAAATTCACCACCACCATCACTTTGAAAAATTTTAATTTTCTGATTAAATAGATTTCCAACCAAAGCTTTAAAATTTTTAAAGTGCATAAAAACTTCACTTTTGTGATGCATTGGATAAATCCAGGTAAAACGAGAAAACTCATCAATAAATAAAACGTAATATTTGAAGCCTAAATTAGAGCCAACAGGAGATTGCCATACATCAGAATGAATAACTTGTAATGGAAGAAAAGAATTATGACTAGCATCCTCAAAGGGCAAACGTTGTGATTTTCCTAATCTACAAGCAACACACTCATGAGTAAAGGGAGAATGACTACATAAAAATTGTTTTCGTTTAAGAAATTGCAAAACACTGTCACCACAATGACCTAATCTACGATGCCACACAGGGCCAGAAGCTAAGACAGACGCGAGAACTAATGAGGATGATGATGGCAGACATAGAGGATATAGAGGTCCTTGACTATTAGCACGCAGAAGTTCCATCCCCGTGGCCTTGTCCTTAATCAAAAATGAATTTTTATCAAAAATAACAACACAATTGTTATCAGCACATAATCTTTGAATTGAAATTAAATTATACTTTAATTGAGGCACGTGATAAACAGAGTTTAATGTGAGAGGACGACCAGACGAAGGTAAAGCAACATCACCAACATGATGAATGGGTAAATGGACACCATTAGCAACACTGACAGAATTATAACCATTGTAAATGGATTTATTTATTAAATTACCTTCTGAGCCAGTCATATGAGCAGAAGCTCCCGAGTCAGGATACCATAAAGCCGAATTAGATTCACCAGATGTGGTTAACAGGGCAGGACTGGTAGGCTGAGCAAAACGAGATGGACAAGCAATAGCGGAATGACCTACAGAGAAACAAATTTGACAGACAATAGGATGGGGAACCGCTCCAAGTATACCCCCATCTGATGAAGAGCCTGCAGAACCAAAGTTAGAAGCACAAATAGGTAAAGCATTAATATTTAAAGTTGACACAGTGGAATTACGAAAAACAGTACCCAAATGTTGTCCAGCCGAGAGACCACCCCCTGTCGCAGAACCATTCCCAGCAGCTGACATCGGCGGTGGTGGACCATACGAAGGGTACCAGTGCACCGGCTGACCATATTGCACTGGATGCGGGCCACGACCCCGGCCACGAGCTCCACGACCTCTGCCGCCCCGTGTCCGACCGCCACGGCCGCGTTGATGAGAGGCCGGAGGGCGCTGCTGCTGCTGGCCACCCGGATGCGGCACCTGTTGTGGATTATTCGGTGGCAGCTGTGCACCAAATGCTTGATGGGCCGGCAGATTCTCCTGGGATCGAAGGTAGATGACTCGCTGCTCTAGTTCCAGGAGATGATTCCGGAGTGCCTCAAACGGAAAATTGTGAGGAAAAAGAGAGACTGTTGTGACCAAGGACTCATACTCACGGCCAAGTCCCATAATGGTGGTTTTGAGCAGGTCACGTGGAGAAACAGAGCAATTAATAGTGGCAAGATCATCAGCCAAAATCTTAATTTCGCGTAGATATGCATCCATAGATTGTTCAGGTTTCTTTTTAATTTGGGAAAATAAACGCTGTAATTCCATTGACCGAGCCAAACTGGCAGACATGAATCGAGATTCTAAACGCTCCCAGATTTCAAAAGAATGTTTTAGGTCACGAACATCAATAAGAATATCCCGAGAGAGGGTTGCAAATAACCAAGGGGACCGAAGAGGTTGAACTGTGGCAGAGACTCCTGGCGAACCAACAAGCGTAGGGCCGGAGAAGGAGCTTGTTGAGAAGGGAGGCGGTTCCAAGGGGACTGACTGCACGGTTGAAGGAGGCTGCCACGGGAAAGCTGGAGGCATGTGTTGGAACAGTGAGTATGGGATGCTGCGACTTGGGGAGATGTAGTGGGAGGGAAAGGTTACGCCGGAATTAGGTGGAGTAGTTGCCGGCGGTATGGCAGCAGTAGAAGACGAGCAGTGAACGGTAGCCATGGTGGACGACACCGCCGAAGAGGGAGATGCGGCGTTCGTAGTTGCTGACGAACTCATGGCGGCGGCGGTGGGAGATTAGGGTATGCCGAGAGAAGGAGAGAGAAGAGAAAAAAAATTAGGGTTTATTCTGTGCTCTTGATACCATGTGAAATAATGAAACAGGATACTCTCTAGGAGTCCTGGCAGTTATATTTATAATAAGGAAGAGTTTAATGTAGAGTACAATTCTAAGCCTGTAATAATTCTATTATTGAGTACTTACAAGACAAAGAAAATTAAGTGAAAAGACTTACCTTGGTCGGACAACATGGAGAGGAGCTTCACATGACACAATTGGCATCTAATTTGGGGCCAATTTGAGCTTTTAATGTAGTTTTTTCTTCTACTTCCTCGTGTTTGAGTTTTGAAATTGTTCTGTGGTTGTCAATAATGGTGAAATCAAACTGGCTTGTACTTTTTGTTACAATTGCCATTTTTTTTAAAATGCAATAAAAATGGTATTCTGACTCTTTAAAATTTTCTTCTTTTCAAAAAAATGCCATTAAGACAGAATTCTTGATTCATGTTGGCATTCTCATAAAAAGGTTATCATCATCGGTGGCGTTAGTTAGTTTTGCATTAGTGGCGGCCGAATCTGCAGTGGAAGCGGCCGGATCTGCACTGGTGGCGTTTGAATCTGCAGGAGCGGCACTCGATGGCCGGCAGAGGCCAGATCTGACCTGATCTAGGGAGGCGACGACCAGATCTATGGAGACGGCGATCAGATCGGCCGCTAGTTTTGAGGTTGCATTGCGGAGGCGGCCAGTCCGGTGGTCTGTCGACATCAGTCTATTTTATCAAGTTTCAGGGGTATTTCTGTCAACTTACAAATAATAACTAGGGAATTTTTAAACTTTAGTTCTATTCTAACCGTTAAGAATTTAATTGCTCCCGTTTAGGTAAATTGAATTTTCTATTATTGTTATAAGAGAAAATTAGTAATACTGTTGTGATTAGTAGTTTAGTACCAACTTAGTATTACTCGGTCCATACACGTACGCTGAAAGTGATACAACCGCGTTCTGCAATTGACTGCGTAATTTCTTATTTCCATCCAAGGAAAGACTTAGCATACAAGAAACACGAAATGGTACTAATAAATAAACGAGCTAGAGTTTATACAACTCTAAGCTAAGCCAGTCCAAGCCGAAGATCGAGCTTGAAAAGCTAGCCAGCTAGCGAGCGGGTACAAAGATGGGAAGGAGGATTGACGCGTTCTTTGGAAAGAACGTGAAGAAGAGCGGCGACAAGTTCAGAGCCACCGCAAGCCTCGCCATTTCCCGCCTCGCCGTCCTCAAGAAGCAGCGCCATGCACGGTGCTCCATCGCCCGCTCCGATGTCCTTCAGCTCCTACACCTTTCTCACCATCAAAGGGCTCTTCTTCGTGTAAGTTAGTAGTCACCTTTTGACTTTTCTTCAAATACCACTCAGTATACTATTGTAATCCAAACCATAATACTATCCCTCCTTTAAAGTTGCCTGTCAACCGTAATTATATTTAATTATATTTAATTACGTATTACTTTCTCTGTAACACAAAGATCTTCCCATTTTGACTTTTCACGATCTTCTAAGTTGAACTTTGACTCTAAATATCTACATATCTATATTTATAAAATTCATAATAAATTAACATTCAAATAATATGTTTTACATTGAGGTATATGAAATAAATTTTTAATCATAACATAATGTGAGTTTTGAATAATTAATGGTCAAAGTTTATAAAGTTTGTCCCAAAATAGTCAAATTGTGAAGATTCTAGGGTTACGGAGGTAGTAGTAAACATTAAAAAAAGTTAATATTTTGGAAATTTACATTAATAAAAATTTAATAACATTTTATACATAATAATTTGATTATATATATTATTGGAAAATCGTAGTCAAAGTAAGATATGTGAATAATGAAGAAATCCCAATTTTGCAACTTCTAAAAAAAGAAGGAAGTAAGTGATTTTGTAGACAAAAAATGTCAGTATGATAATAGTTGAATGTTAAAAATGTCATTTTTATGAAAATCGGATGATTGAATTAAATATGAAAAATTTCATAGATGGTATCAAAAGTCTCTCTACACAATAGTGGATGACTAAAAATATATTCCGTAAAAGTTTAATCGAGTACTAAAAGTGTGACATTAAATTGGAAGACAAAAAGTGATAACACCTCTACAAAAATGATTCACCTAATGAAATTGTAATTCTTTTACTTCCTATCACTATCGTCACAAGAAAAAAGCTATTTGTACACGAAATTTGTACATACTTTGTACACATTGCACATAATTCTATGTGCACACAAACAATGTCTACACTTCCTAATTGTCTGTGTACACATGACGCTCGTGTGAAATGAGTACAATTTTTTGTATACAAGAAGAATAGTTGATCATCACCATCAGTGTTTTAAGGGTAATAACGTTTTGTCAACAACTTTTTCCGTTGACTTTTAAGGTAATAACGTTTTGATGGAGGAGCTCTGGTTGTGGTTCCTATCGTTTTTTCTTTCAATATTTTCAATTTTACAGAAAAAACTCTCCAACAATAGTGGCAGCGGAAGAAGGTGAAGAGTAGAGTTAAAAGGAGAAGAAATTTGAATTTATTTAATTCTTTGATTCTTGGACACATTTTTTGAAAGGAAAAAACTTGTCATAATATTGTCTTTTCAAATTATGATTCATATACATGTACTTATTCCTTAAACTTATTAACTAGTTAGGTGACTTTACATGATTGGATTTCTTTTGGACAATTCAACAATATATTTGTGATACAAAAATGTTTGGATTTAATTTGTTTTAGGTAGAGCAAGTGATAAAGGAGCAGAACATGTTGGATGTGTTGCTCATGGTAGAAGGCTATTGCTTTCTGCTGCTAGAAAGGGTCATCCAGTTAGAACATCAAAAGTAAGTGAACTTCCTTTCCAGTTTAATTGGGTCCCACCTTTCTTAACACATGGTAAACTTAACTTCTAATCAACATTTTTTCATCCACTTCAATAAGTAGAAACTATAAAATTCTATTGAAGCCAAAAGCTTAGTTCTATTGAAGCCAAAAGCGAATCAGAATATAAAATATTATTTCATATTATGGAGTATGAAAAACCAAGGTAAAATAGAATGAAGTTAACTGTTGGAATAATGCCCATAGAAGAAAAATGCAGCTTGGTGCACGAAAACATCCGTGCAAGACGAGGGTCTGGGGAAGAGTCCCACCAAAAGGCCGGGTGTCTAAGGGGTAAGTCTTCCCCTGTCAAATTTTGAACCTGTAACCTTTCTCGATAACGCAATGACACCTTAACATGTGCCCCAAGACTCCTCTTATGAGGGAATAACGTCTAATCACATTACACTCTTACATTGAGACAAGGAGTATTGTCTTTCATACATATGAAGATATTGTCATGTCCTGATACATATTTCGTTTCATTCTAAAAGATCAACTTAATAGGTAATAAACCAAAAGTTCCATGTTTGTTGTTTAATACTTAACCGGATATGGGACATCGATTTCCAGCCTGTAGTCTTACTAATGTTTTAGTGAGGGTTTAGGCCTTTTATTAAGGTTTATTTCATTGGCATTGAACAGGGATTGTCCGGATGAATTAAAGGAAGCAATATCCAGCTTAATCTTTGCAGCTTCAAGGTGTGGGGATTTTCCGGAACTTCAAGAGCTTCAAGCACTTTTTTCCTCAAAATTTGGAAAGGAATTCACCGCCAGAGCTGTTGACCTAAGGAACAACTGTGGAGTCAATCCAAAGGTATTACTATATGCATATAAGCTACATTATGAAGACAATATGTTTAGAAACACAATTTGATGTCACATTACATGCAGATGATTCAAAAGCTGTCGACTAGAACGCCTAGCTACGAAAGCAGATTGATGGTCCTTAAAGAAATTGCACAAGAAAACAATATCATTCTGAAGATAGATGACACAGATGAAGAATCAACCAAGGTATACATACACACTTCATACCTTATTTTCTTTGTTTATATACTAGAACATCCTAATTATATGCAATACCCTGAATTCATAAGAGAGTTGAAAAGAATTACAAAAGGATTACAAGTAATGCGGTCTGTAGCGGAACAGCAACACACTTCACCATAATATTGTGGTTTGTATTACAAACAAAATGCATCTTCTTATAAGGGAACCATTTGTTAAGGATTCTGTAGCTAAGCAGACTTCTTGAGCGTAGTTGCGTAGTTCTAGGATAAGCGTGCTTTTTTAGGATGAGGAACTCGAGTAATGTGCTCACGAGCGAGGAAAGTACCTGTTGGGCCGTGGGTATGCGGTGACAGCAATCTGAAAGCCTGCAGGTGGAATCGAACCGCGTGACGCTTCGCTTGTGCTATAAAGGGAGAGGAGCATGTTACACTATCAGCGATTAATTTTAGTGTAACGGTAAGCGCAATGATCCACAGTACCGAACCTCGAGAGTGACCAGTAGTAACATTCATTGACGAGTAGTCGAGTACTTGAGGGGTCGGGGTGTTACATAAAATGATCGAAGTATCTCAATTCTCAAACTAGCTAAATATGAAGAACTGAACAACCTACCTAATACAACAAAAGCTCCTTTGGAAAATTTAAACCTTATGCTTAACATGATATGCTTAAGATCTATTGCTTCATCAGATAATGATGTGCTAGTCGTGATTGCAGGGGCAAAAGTATGATGGGAATAGGCCAGACCGGGCAGATCAGCATATTCCCGTGTTAGATCAAAATCCAGAAATGGAAGTGAATAGAAAGTACAAGGATGTGGCTGATGCTGCCCAAGCAGCCTTTGAGTCAGCAGCTTATGCAGCAGCAGCTGCCAGAGCTGCCGTGGAACTCTCGCGTTACGAATCTGGTGGCAGTGGCGGTGGTTGTGATTGTTCTGATCATTCACCACACACTCCCAGCAGGTGGCACAAAGCAAAAGCTCCACAAGGAGGTAATGAAGAAAAAGACCTTACTGAAACTGAAGATGTTAAAGAAGATATGGTTACAGATGATTTTCATGAGGATAAGAGCCCTACTACCTCAGCCAGAACCAACCCGACTTATCATTGGTGACAAAAGAACAACCACAGATTCAGAACTCTACTAGCTATGTGCAGATTTTGTTAGTTTATTAATGGGTACTATGATGATTAGTTTGAGAGTGTATGTCTGATAAGGAGACTTCATATCATATAATATGTTGAAAGCTTTGTTAGAAGAGATTGAAGGCTTGTTCCGAGAGATATGTTATAGCTGTTGAATATGTGATGAATTAATGTTCAATGTTATTTACTGCTGAAAAAATGAAGTAAAAATAAAATTTCAGCAAATCCAGAGTTATAGTTGTAATTTCTTGAGCCAGCTTTTGATTATCTTGGTCCAAAAGGTGGAATCTCCCACCCCAGAAGCCCCCCATACCCCGACCCGACAGGTTTTTTGAGAGGATGTTAATCACGGTGACTCAGTCGGCCCAATGATGGTAGGTCTTTTTCCCGTGCGCACCAGAGATCCAGCCTTATTTAAGGTTATGTGACCTCCACACGGCCGCTGCGGGTTTCGAACCTTGGTCACTTGGTCCAAATTTCCCACCACTGAACCAACTGAGCTACCCGTGCGGGTAGCTTTTGATTATCTTATTTGAACTTGCAAGTTGCAATGATCCGAGTCAATTGAAAGAGAATCACAAATAATTTTACCAATATTCATTTCTTGAGCCAGCTTTTGATTATCTTATTTAGGGACGTTTTTAATTATTTGTCCTTCTTTCCCTTTTTGATAAGTTTTTTCAATCAAAATACTTTTATACTCTCACTTTTATTAACATTACCCCTTTGTCTTTCTTACTTTTTCATTTACTCACAATCCACTGCACCTTGTACACTACCCCTATTATTTATTATTTTCCTTTTAAAACCCGTGCCAAAGCCTAAGAGAACAAATAAGAGCATCTTCAATGTTATAGTGTGCACGGTGCACATGTGGCATCAAAGATAACCACATAAATATTAGCAAATAAATTATCTCTCTCCTTATTTGAATGATTTTATACAATTTTGGTAAGTTTTCCCCTGCAATGTCAACTGCAATGTCAACATCTAGACGGTTTCCTTGACATTGTGGAGAAAAACTTACCAAAAGTGAATAAAACCATTCAAATAAGGATATAAAGAATTTATTTACTAATATTTATGTGGCTATCTCTCAAGCCACATGTACAACGTGCACATTGTAGTATTGAAGATGCTCTAATAAAGAACGGATGGAAGTATATACAAACGCAAACTCCCATGTCCACTCAAAATTTTCCATTTTGACTTTCTTGATCTGTAAACTTTGATTAGCTAATGATTTTGATTACTGTATTTTTTTGTAATTTTTTAAAGTTTTATACTTTATCAGAGTATCTTTGTCAAGGAACTTTCCCATATGTCAAAATTTAAGATTATCAAAAAAAAAAAAAAAATGGCTGCTATATTTCTCTTACTCTTCTGAATTCCAAATTTGTGGTTTCTTTTATTTTTCCCAGAAATATGACTTTAACACATTTTATCACGTATCTAAAGGTACCTCATTTTTTATCTCAATTTGTACCCCCACCCTATTTTTGTGGTTCACAAAAGCAATGAGTTAAAGTGAGCAATTATTTTGTAAGGTTGAGATTCTGTGAGCCACTCAATGAGTGAAGTACAAATGGGGTACCCCAAAATGGGTACCTCTACCATTGCTCAATGAATTATGGAATCTGAGGCAATCCCTCATTTTTGGCTTTCAGTTACACTGCTTTTAATGCCCGTGATTTTGTAGCTAGAAAACGGGGTTGTTAGATTTTATCTGAAAATGGTAATTTCTATAATTTCAATCCACGTGTATAGAATACTAGTCATATTTAAAGGTTACCGCGCGGTTTACGATGTTTGATGACCATAAAGTTAACTGATCCCTGTGATTGATAGGATTTTTTAGTAAATAAAATTTACATATTTAGAAACTACACTACAACCGCTACAAAGCCTGATCAAGAAAATTTAAACTTGATAAAAATTGGATATATAAATAAAAGATTAAGAACACTTCACGTTGACCGAAGAATAGTGGACGAGAACCTTTAAGTGGGACGGAGGGAGTAAAAATCATTAAAAAAGGCCTACATTGGAAATAACTTTTAATATTATCAACTATCTAAATATAGACCAAAAGTGATATAGAATGAAAATGCAGTTATTAAGTCACCAAAAACTAGAATTGAAATATCAAATAAGTGATTGTATTTTCAAATATCATGTATTTGATAGTTTGCTATTAATTTTTAATGTCTTAAATGATTGGATTTCTTATCAAGAAGTCCTACCATATTATTTTGTTTTATATTCAAATAATTGGTATTATTGAAAATCATTTTCGAAGTATGTACTATTATTGATTTATTAGTGATAGTTGATGTTATTTAAAGTTGATTTCCCAAAAATCAAAGATAGAGATGACTGATTTATATAGAACTTTACATTTTAAATTTTGTTACACTTGAAACAGATTTACTTATTTTGTTGCATCTTCACTCTAAAATAACTTTTCACTAATTTTATTACCGAAAAAAAACTTTAATTAATTAGCCTATTCTTGAAAAGATTCAAAATTAAGTAAATAGAATGATACTCCTTGCATCAATCCCAATATTACTACGATTTTTGACTTTTCATATAAAAGTGAAAATTTTGTGATTGAGAGTTGTACAAATGAGAGAAATAGTATGAAACATGATTTTTTTTTGTCATAAAAGAAAATGAAATTTATTTTGGGACAAATGAAAAATGAAAGAACGAAGGTAATATTGAAACGTGAATTTACGTCCGTTTGTGGAATATATATATATATATATATATATATATATATATATATATATATATATATATATATATATATATATATATATATATATATATATATATATATATAAGAGGAACTTTTTAAGAGCATACAAAGCGCCACATAATCCTGCCATGTCATTATATATAACAATTATTTACTTATTTTTATACCTTTTGTTTTTATTAGATTCTATTTTTGATTGCATATTGATATGAAAACAAAAATCCTTATAAATCCACCTTAATTAATTTGGTAAGCTTCAAATAAGTAAAATAATTTTTGCTTATCAAAGTGAAATTCTAATAAGGTTTATTGATATGGAAACTAATTTATACTCCCTCCGTCCGGAAATAAATGTCCTGTTTTCCTTTTCGGTCCGTCACAAAATAATTGTCTTGTTTCCTCTTCTGGCAATAATGAGTGACTCATATCAATTCACCATTTTTCTACTCAAATTTCAACCACAACTTTTACCTTTTCAACCACTTTCTTAAAACTTGTGCAAAAGCAAACAAGACAATTAATTCGGGACGGAGGGGGCATTAGTTTACTACACCGAATTAAATAGAAACAAATATGCAAATTAGTTTACTTATTAATTTGACACCTATCAATAAATTAGTAAGCTTCAAATAAGTAAATAATTAAAAATTATAACCAACATAAAGTATATATATTTTCACAAGTAAATATGTTTAGCTTAGCCAAATAAGTAATTTTTTTTGGTTGTTTCTTTATTTTACACCTAAAATTCAATATGACTTCACTTTTGAAATAGATTCCTAATCCAAATTAGAAATCTGTGCAGGTTTATGAATTCCTACTTTTATTTTAATAGAATGTTTTTAATTAGATTGATTTCAGTTCCAGATTAAATCAGATCAGATCAAATTTTAATAATTATAACAATAAGTCACATAAAAAACATACATCTAATAGACCATATTAATTCATACCAAATCAAACCCGAAATTTTAATTTAATTAAAAACGTTCTTATTAATGAGTAAATTGTAAGATCTAACAATTAAGAAATATAGTTTTTTTTATTATTGGGTTCATAACAATTATGTTTACTTGAGATGCTTATGTAGAAGACCAATTTAACTTTTTTTCTTTGTTTCACAAATGGAATATATTTCACATATATTTTTCATGATTCAGAAGATTCCACCTATTTAACCAGAATTCAATCAATTTCAGCAAAATAAGTTAATTCTATTTACTTTAGTATTATCAAACAGACTCTATATTAGACTAAGTTTATTTTTCTTTTAAATCACATTATATGTGATTCGATAGAAATTAAATTTCAAATTAGCTAAATTACATACTGTCCGTGTATCGCACGGGCTTGAAAGCTAGTCTTTAAATAAAGGCTAAGACAAAGCTCTTTATATGAGTGATAAAACTAGATAAGTTTGTAGTTGTTCTTATAAGCCGGTGGTTTCATCACAATTCAAATGTTCTCTCATGCAAGCTAATCTGTTTCAAAGTTCCAGATATGGTAACTAAGATACTATCTTAAATTTAGCATTCTTGGGTTCCAGTTGACTGGGATCTTAAAAGGAGTTTGAGAAGTTAGATGGCATCCTAGAGTTGGTTACCGTAAGTACTACCTCTATCCCGTTATGATTATCCTCTTCTATCACGATTTCATACCAAATTTGATAAAATTTGTGTGATTTTAAATCATTCTTACTTTATCAATTCAATATTAACCACATAAACCACTTTTTATTAATTTTCGTGTCATTCTCTCTTATCTCATTGTTAACGGGATGGAGGGAGTATGTAAGAATGAGGTATTATTGACCACATGTTCGTGACGAATGATACTAACATGGAAGTGTATAGTACTTTAGAAGGAAAAAATTGTAGTGAATTAATGGAACGAACTAAAAATATTAGGTTCAAGAAGAAAGAAGATACTATCTATATACAAAATCTAACTAAAAATCATAAAAATACCCCTTGAATATTCCATTCTGCTTAGTGCTTACAGACAAGTAAAAAAGGGCTATTTGGTCATAATAATGTCATAGTAACAACTTCGTCCGAACCTTCATTTATTGTATATCCACATCGGGCGGATAGTAGACCGGTTGACGCGGTTACTAGCCGGAGGTAATTTGCGGCCACCGCCGTCGATGGCGACTGTTATTTTGCTATCCACTACTTCTTTGACGCGGCCATCTAAACTCTCGTCACGGGAAAGCTTAAAAGACATAGCTCACATCAAGACTACGAAGTGGCATCGTGCTAGCGAAGAATTCGGATTGTTGCACCGACGCAAATTTCTCGATTTCAGCAGACTCCATTGGAGACGCCGTAATTCCCTTCTTACGGTGGAATCCGGCGGAGATGGTGATGGGTCGATTTCAGAAAGCAACGAGAATGTTCAGAGGAGGAGATTAATACAGGCAGTTCTATGGATTGCAGAGGGTATCTATGTGCTTTGGCTCTTTGTACTCCCCTATGCGCCGGTAATGTATTACTACCGTTAACTCGTACTATATGTTCTGTTAATTACTGTGTTTTAAGTTATCAGTATCATTTTTATGAACTGTTTGTGCTAATTACACTTTCTGTGTATTATTAAGCTTCTGGACCTGTTGTGCATTTTAGTACTTTTGAGACAAACATTTTCTTTCAACCTTATATATACCCTTAACTTGAGGGAAAACAGGTTTGTTTCTTGAAGGAACCATTAGGAATTTAAGGTATCAGTCTAAGGTTAGGGCAAGAAATTTCTGGGATGTGGGTTTACTGTTGTATGGAGCATAGGAATCCATTTTGTCACATGATTTTTCAATATTTTTGGGATCATTCTTCAAGTTCTATGTTGAGAAATGATACTTGCAGGGAGCCAGGGAATCTTAGGGAATAAGGTGAATTACCTAGTTTCTCTTCTATGTTAATAGTTATTTTAGGTACTACCAGAAGTCCAGACTCTTATTGTAGGATTCATTTTTATAGTTTATATAGGACAGGAGAAAGATTGTTTGATAGACCAAGTAAAATTAAACCTTTCTTTTATTTACATTAGGCAATAATCATCCTCTCTTTCAACAGTCTCTCTAGGGGGGAAATTGTAGTCACATGAGGGTTTGTTTAGAATAGAGGATTCACCACTGTTACCCTCCTATAATAGGGCAATTCTAGTCATATTATGTGTATATGTGAAAACACTTTAATGACACTTAAAAGAGAATGGATGAAATACTAAATTAATTAGTTGACTATGCTACCTTTTTTTTATTGACTCTTGACATACTGTCATGCTTTTATACATATATTTTCCCTCATTGATTCGTCTTTGTTGTAGTGCAGGGAGATCCCGTATGGGCAATCAGTTCAGACACAGTGAATCATCTGGTTGGCCTTTCTCTGAACTTCTTCTTCATTTTGCCCCTATTGAACAATGGTATGCTTCTTGATTAAGAGTTAGATGAATTTGAGTTCTTTGAGTATCTCACTTCATTAATAGGAGACCTTATTAAGGGATTCTGCCTCACATCATAATTTTTCATGTTTCTTAGAAGTTAGATAATTTAGTGTTGCCTGATTTACAATTTCGTTGGTCTAGTAGTCTAGCCTGTGTCAAGTCCATGTATAACTTCAAAATGCAATTGCTTTTGTAATCATTAGTTTTAGTGAAAGTATGCAATTTCCATCTTAAACTGTTTTAGAATTTAACCGGTTTAGTCCTCCATTTTTATGGTTGGGAAAATGACACCCTCTAATATTATAAACTGTTCGACTCGTGGAAACGACACATGTATTGTATATCCCCTTTGGTCTCAAATAAGTTTAGAGGTATTAACTAATTTTTTTATTCAGAAAAAAAAATAAAAAATCTACTTTTTTTCCATCATTTGCAATGGAGCCAAAGATTCATTATTTTTTGGCTTGAGATTATGATGGAATAAAGAAAAATGGCTCACTAAACTGTTTGCGCTTCTTTGTCATGAAGCAGCAGTCAGTCCATGCAATTTTGGACGGGATTTTCACTATGGGTCATCCGGAAACAGTCTCTCTGTACTTTAGTACAGGGGTAAGACTGCGTACATCCGACCCCCCCTTACCCCACCGTAGGTGGGAGCCTTTGCGGCACTGGGGTAAATGAAAATGATGAAAATGAAAGAAAAAAATCTACTTTTGGTCTCAAAAGTATTATACCGATTTATCATTAGGTCCATGTATTTGATTTTGCCCACATTTCGTACATGACTATTGTTCTTTGCCCACCTGCAGTCCTGATAAAAATTTTGGTACCTCTCAAGAGATCAAGTATCGTAAGAATCACAGGTGGGCAATAAACAGTAGTCCTGCACCAACTGTGGGGAAAGTCAAAGACATGGACCTTATATGAGATTGCTTTGATACTAGTATGATACCAAAAGTGGAGTTGTTTCTTTTCTTCACAAATAACTAAGTAAGTTTCCATTTGGCTATCCAGTAAACATAATAAAACGACAAACTTTCCTCCCATATTTGTGTTACTTTTTCTCTTTACTCGGGATTAGGGGGTGCTGTTAAATTTATGTCAAAATCAATTATCACCCTAAAAAGAAATCCTTTTTATAAGTTACTTGAGAGAGGAAGGTGTACAGTGTACTAGTTAATAAGTTGAGTGTATCATCACAAGGACTAAGATGACCACAAATTGAAATATGTTAAGGTTCCATATTTTCTCATGGATGACCCTAAGGGACTAAAACGGCTAAATTCAAACAATGGAAGGACCAAAGTTTTCCTTTTTCCGGTGACATCACAGCCGTACTTGGAATGATTTAATTGGTTTGTATAGATTCTTTTGTTTGCCAGGTTGCTTTTTCTACAATGAACATTGTGCTGTAGTTTGAGATGGATGCCTAACTTCATGTATGATTATTATGTACATTTGAAGTTATTTCCGACTTGAAAGCCTCATTACTGTGTCTGTTTATAGATAAGTTGTGTTTGTGATTAAAATCTATTTGGGCAGAGTAGCGGGCATTCATTTCTTATTGGAGGCGCCTGTGATACATCCAGTAAGTACTTTGTTGTGCTTGTATACTTGTCTCTTGATGAAGAACTCATTATAATTTATTTGTCAAGCTGCTAATAACTGATCAATGTGCAATTCGTCCTCAGATGTCTGAAGGGTTATTCAACTTTGTTATTGGGTGGAAATTTATGTTTGCGCCTTTGTTGTTCACTGACCGTAAGAGTGGTCGGTATAAAGGATCTTTGGATGTTCTGTGGGGCTTCCAAATGTTCCTCACAAACAGTATGTTCACTGATTTCGTTTATTGACAATTTAAAGTGTAGGCCTCATTACATGTCAAATGTTGAAAATTTAAGTCTGCACTCTGCAGCTGCAAGATATTGAAAAATTCGCTAGAAAATACAGTTTAAGATGGGATTCAGAAATTTTGGCTTACACGACATTTAAATACGTAGTATAAAAATGCTTTTTTTAAGAAAATGCTAACTGCATGTGTTTTATTTTTTGTTCACAGATGTACATTTTTGCAATTTTAAATTTAATTTAAGTGTTGTCACAACTAGTTCAGTTTACTAAAGGGGCTTATTCAGGATAAACTCTCAAGAGAAAAACTAATGTATCTGAATTGCAAAATAACAGCTTTAAAAAAACAAAAACATCAACAACAAGACTAGTTTTGCTGATGTAATATATAGGGGGGGAAATGTGTTTTACTCCATTAAATAATTGAGATGTTTGTATATCATGCAGCTTTCTTAATACCATACATGGCCATAAGACTGAATGGAATGGACAAAGATGTTCCAAGAAAGGCCTCCTGGTTAGGTTCCACCATGACCAGCGGTGCACGCACTGTCGGGCTAATTGGCGTTGGTGTCTGTTTGGTTTCAACAATTTGGGCATTGTTTGGCCGAGGAGCAGATGGTTACTTCGGTGGCATTTCAGAAAGATGGGAGTTCTTGGTGAGTTATGTACGAACCGAAAGACTTGCCTACGCCTTCATTTGGGATATCTTCCTCTACTTGATTTTCCAACCATGGCTCATAGGAGACAACTTGCAAAACATTCAAAAGGATAAGGTTAAGGTGGTAAATTATCTTCGGTTTGTCCCAGTTATTGGGTTAGCTGCCTATTGCCTTTTTCTAAATCTTGATGATGACAAATCGTACAGTTGAAATGCTAATGGATGGACACCATTTTGTAAAAGTGAAAAGAAATGATGTACTCGTTAATTATTTTTTGTTTGAAAATTTAATAGTAGAGGTTTAACCTCAAGTTCAAAACATTTTCCTTTTCAATTGATTCCTTGGGGGTTTAATGCACCCAACCATCCTATTCTATACAAATTCTTAGAAGAACAAATTTAACTGTCAGATTAAAACAAAATTATTTAGTATTTTTTCTCAAATTTCGAGGTGTTGGCAAATGTAATTGCTTGTTTAATCATAAACTAAGATACATAATTTTAAAACAATCAAACTTGCTTGTGGATTCAGGGTTGTGTACATGACGATTTGAATTTGTTTGATGCATTTTTTAAATCACGTGAAGAATTATAAATCACGAAGAATTTTAGCGTGTTAAAAGATGTTTTCATTGAGACTGAAAACATTAAAAAGTGCAAACTCATAAACATACATAAAAAAGTGCTTCTAATATTGCAAATCCATCCTCTAATTTTTTTACTAAAAATGCAATCACATAAAATACATGATCTTGAAACACAATAATTGAAGCATTACCTTTTGTAGCAGTTGACTCTGTGAGGTGGCATAAATTTTATTTTCCCTTTTTATTCATTCTTTTTAGCCCCTCATGGAATATGGTAATATGGATAGAATTCATAATTGAGGCATGCTAGTCCTTTTTAGTCAAAACACACACTAATCTAAAACAAAATCTTCTTATAAAGGTTCTTATTTTGTTCTGGTTTGGGGCTAATGGCTATTAATATTATATCATCAATACATAACTTTTGATGTGGGGCTAATGGCTATGCCTATACCAACTCATTAATACATCACCAAACAGACACATCCATTATATATCGGCTACAATAAATAACTAACACATCAGCCCACACCCAATAGATGTAAAAAGCACACTTTCCTCGCTCAATTTGCACCTTAATGATTAGTTGTATAACTTTACCTAGAGATCATATTCAGCAATAATAAATGTATTCACATCAAGGACTTTTAAATTAGAGTATACCATTTCCTGCAAAAAATGCATAGAAAAAACTGTCTCCCACATGAAATTTTAATGCATACAAAGAGGCCGTTTGACAACACTGTTTTCGGCTTATCAGACTTATCAGGCAACTTTTTTTACCAAAAACGTAACTTTTGCTTTCACGCGCTGAATTGTGTAATAAACAGAAAAAGTAAGATTGAAGTTACTTTTCTGGCTGTGTTGGTTGAAGTTACTGTACATGACCATTTTAGCTATTTTTACATACGTAGTACGGAGTATAATTATTTCTTTATTTTATTAATAAAATATTTTTTAAAAATAATTTTTTCTTAAATCAGCAGAATCAGCCAATGCAGTCACTTCAGCCAGAACTTCATAAATTTTAGCAGAATCAGCCAAAACAGCCGATTTTCGTGCCACCAAACGTGCTCAAAACTAATAATGGGTACAAATATAAGTTACTGGGCTAAGTATGTACTACGTAACTTCCTCTATTTTAATTTACAGGGATGATCTATGCAACGAGGTAAACCGTAAATGGTTACCAATAGCGACCAAGCACTAATGTTAAGTAGTTAACATATGAAAAACAAATAAAAAACAACACGCATAAATTATAGAAATAAGAGTTACTCCCTCCGTTCCTAAATAAACTTCCAACTTTCCTTTTTCGTCCGTTCCAATTAAAATTTCCACTTTCCCTTTTTGGTAAAGAATTTGTGATTCACAACATTTCTTACACATTTCTCTCTCCTCTGCACAACTCTCCACCACACAATATCCACTATCTTAAATTTTGTGCCAAACCCATTTGGAAGTTAAAATGGGAACGGAGGTAGTATGTTATAATTACACTGTATAACGCCATCTTTATTTTTCGTACTCATAGGTAGACACACAAATTGATCTTTTTATTATTTTTTTTTATTTTTTTATTTTTTTATTTTTATATCTTGTCTTTTTATCCCTTTTTATCTTATCATTTTATGTATATCTTATCTCTATTTTATCTGATCTTTTTATCTTTTTTTTTTTTGCTTTTAACTCTGATATCATGTTGTCGACCCAAAATGTTTTGGGACTACAGCTTGGGTGTTGTTGTTTATAGGTAGAACAGACACCTTCACATACAAAAAGGGTGAACATGTATAAAAATGTTTTATGTGTGCATTTTGTAGATAATAGATATACATATATATCATCTAGGAAATTATTTATTATTAAAAAAATCTAGCTAGCTAGTTAGCTTCTAGCAGTAAAGGCCTTGATTTGATCAATCAATTCATCAGTTCTTGTTTGTGCTAGTTGTGACTTATCAAGGATATGAAATGAATGGCCAACACCTTTACACACAACAACCTCCATTTTCTTCCCACCTCTACTCAATGTCCCACAGAACTCCAAGTTCCTATCTTTTAACATATCTAACTCAGATATGAACACCAAACTTGGTGGAACCCTCAACTCCTTCATGTACCCTTTTGCCGCGGCCACCATCGGGTTGCACCACGGGTGGTCTCGGTTCACCCCCTCAGGCAGCGCCAACCGCCAATACGCGTCAGAGTCGGCCAATGTGAGCGGCGGTTGGGCCGCGCATATCTCGGAGCAGGTTCTCGATTTCCCTCCAAAAAAAGGTTGGATGAGAATGGTCCCTTTTATCTCCAAAGGACTTAGCAATACGTGCTTAAATTCCTTTTCACTTTTGGGACATAACCTAATGGAAACATTGTGTGCTATATTCCCCCCAGCACTATCACCACTAAGGAAAGTACGAGAAAAGTCACATTTCTTTAACCAAAAATATTCCTCCTTTGTCTCTGTCCTTGCATGCTGCCTTAGCCACATGATTGTCTTCACGCCGTCGTCGTACGCCGCCGGAAGTTGACTCTCCGGCGCCAACCGGTAGCTTACCGACACAATTACGCACTCCGATTTTCCGGCAAGTTTTGCCAGAAACTCGTGATAACAACCCCAAGAAGCTGATCCAACGCAAAACCCACCTCCATGGAAGTAAACTATGAGAGGAAACTTCTTCATCTGAGAGGGATTATTATCATCATCCCCTTTTGGAACATAACAACGTGCCCAAATTTTTGTACACTTTTCTATAGTCACGTCAATGGAGGTGACGCTAGAATCTGGTGGCAAATCGCATGTGACGTTTGGGACAATTTGGGGTCTCTCCACATGACCATCTTCATAAACCCTAATTAACCCTTTAATTTCTTCCTCCTTTTTGTGTAGGTTGATGACCTGAAGGCGGCGACCCGGACTGTAATCTGCTGCCATGGCTGGCATTCTCCGCTTTTTCATACTCTAAATTAGGATATATGTATATTTAATTATTTATATATATATATGTGCTAATTAAATAAGCAAAATATATAAAATAAAATAAATATGTTGATTTCTGGCTAGACGATAATAGTGAAAGGAAAAGGAGCTAGTTGACTACTTGGAACGTAACATGTTTGCCCAAGAACCATAGAGGGGATCATATCGTGTATTTATAGAGCGAAAAAGAATAGATGGAACATGAAGGTACACGTAAGATATGAAAGAAATTCTTTAAATAGAATCATTTTTGTTTTTATTGAAATGTGATTCCAATTCTTATAAAAAGAATTTGAACTTCTTTTACTCTTATTCTGATAGACCATATTTTGCATCTATTATAGATAATTTCTTTAAAAGATATATACTCTAAGTGTGTCATTTTTAAAAATATATCATCTCTTTTATTATTTTATTTGTCCTCGTTATCTAATACTTCCTCCCCGCTAAAATTCTATCATCTTTACGCATTGATATCTATTCCACTATAATTGTCTTATACTCCCACTTTCCTTTTTGGGCTGTTCCCAAAAATACTTCTCACTTTCCCATTTTGGACAATTTGTGTGGCTCACATTCATTTTACCTTTTTCTTACATAACCACAACCATACATTTCCACTTTATTCCACTTTCTTAATAAGCGTGCCAAGTCAAACCGGGAAGAATTTTTAGGAACGGAGGGAGTACTAAATTTAGTAAAGTTTTTTATTTTCTAAATCATTATTACTTTATTCTAACTTTGAGTTTCATTCGTTCGAATGTACTCCCCAGACGGGATATTTAACGCGTATCAATTCAATATCAACCATAGGAAGTCACTTTTTAATAATCGTGTCACTTCCGTCTCGAAAAGGTTTGTCAGATTGACTTTTTTGGTCAATGATGATAAACTTTGGATAATGATTTTAATTATTATATTTGTATATAATTTATAAATTTTATACTTAATGAAAATATTTTGAATAAGGAATAATTTGATATAATTTTCATATTCAAAACAATTTCGTATTAAAAAATACTACGTATCATTGATCAAATTTAATTGTCAAAGAAAATACAGAGTATGTATCTTCTTTGCTAGTTCTCATTGTTTTATTATAATTTTATTTTTGAGAGTTATTATAAAATTATAAAATTAAATGTTATGAGAGTTGAGTTCATAGTATTACAAATTTACAATGTTCTTTTGTTGGAGTGTGACACATAAGAATATAAGATAAGATTGGACGAATTGGACGAAACGTTTTTCACAGATATAATTTGTAAATTTCATTATTTTCTTTTATTACTCCCTTCGACGAAATTTGACCTTCTTTTTATGGTCAATAGCAGGTTTTCGCTTTATTGAAAATCGTCTAAATAATGAATACAGATAATAAATGATACGGAGTAATATTGTCAATAAAGAAAATAATGTAAAAATAAAGTTTGGAATCATTAAAGCTTTGGTAGGTTTTACGTGTATAAATAGAGTCGGCACAACATTTTCACAGTGTTACAAAACAGTTGTACACTATGTGGAGAGGGCTTACGTAACAGTACCAAAATAGTGGTGTCACAATTGTAGCATCTCAGAACGACTAAAAAACAAAAACTTATAGAGTACATCCCCATCGGGTATTTTCTCAAAATACGAGAAAACTTAACATCCATGCCAAAAAGACGGGAAAAAATACATGTTTTCTAAGAAAATGAAATCCGGAAGAACACATTCCGAATAGATTTAGGGTTCCTACGCACACATTTAGGTATCTCCATTCGGAACAACATTTTCCGAATTCCTCCACCCATTGTTCACTCTGCACCCTATTTCATTTGGAAAACAGATTTCCCAATCCCGTTTTTGTGTACTCTAATTCGAAGTCCCGTCTTTTGGCATGGTGTGTTAGAAACCCCGTGGTTTCATCATTTCCTCTTATTCTAATTAAATTAAATAGGGTTTTAAAATACAAAATATAAGAAATACTTTTTAGGCCTAACAGATTACTATATTGAATGAAAAATTAGTAAAAGTTAATGATATGAGAAAACGTCATAGTGTAAATGTCAACCAAACGTTACCGTAACGTTAAGAAAACGTTAGAGTGATAACTCATTATTAACACTTGTGATCAGTTTTCATCTTTCGAGTTCTGATACATTTCATTTTTCAGATCTCGAGTTGATAATTCGTCTATCTTTCAGGTCCCAGATTGATAATTCGTCTATCTTTCAGGTCTCAGATTGATAATTCGTCTATCTTTCGAGTCCTATTTGGAATGTTGTTACTTACACATATTTTAATTCCAAATAAGACCATCCAAATTAATTCAGCTCAGATTTTGACAGTTGTAAAATGCACAAAGATCAGACATTTATTAGACTTGACCTGTCCATTTCAGACTAGACCAGAACAATTCAAATTACACTAGATCAAATGAGACTAGTCTATTTAAATTCAAATAAAATATCTTTGCGTGTTTCGAAATAACGTGTCTTAATATTATGATTGCATGTACATATAATAAATTTGCTAAAATAAATAAATTGGACTAATCATTTTCATTTAATTTTACAGCTTTAAAATGTTACGTCCATAAATAATTATACCATAAATAATTATCACACATGTGAGATTTGTCGCATTTTTTTAAAATAGGAAGCCCTAAAGAATGGTTGATTGTTGTTCTTGTTTTACATGAGAAGTGGCCAATTGGGATGTTTCCACGTGTCTTCTCTAGAGCGCAACTAAGGTTGTTTTTACTTGGACGGTAATTTGCTGGTCTGGCCTGGTCTGGTCTGATCTGGTCTGGTTTTTTTGTATTTTTATAACTATTCAAATCTGGTCTGGTCTGATCTGGTCTGAACTGGTCTGGTCTGGTTTGGGACGAATTAAATAATTGACGGGTCTAGAGTCTCGTTTGACAGAACACATCTTAAATAATGGACGGGTCTAGAGTCTCGTTTGACAGAACACATTATGCTCTACATCACTTTCAAGTTTGCGTTGGAGTTAATTGAGGCCGTTGCTGGTGTCCCAAACACGGCACTCCAGTGGAACAATTTCAAAGAGGCGCATCCGGAATTTTCTAAGTTATCCTTCCCTGGAATCAACTTGGGGAAAGACTTTGGCCAGTTTGACATATTGGGCATGTCGAAAGTCACCAATACAGGAATTCTATGGGTCCTTTTCTGGAAGGACAAAAAAGAGATCGTTATTTGTAAGTCATTGACTTGTGAGTTTTTGTTCAAAAATCTTTTCACGAAATTAAACTTCCTTAATTTATTTTTTACAACTCTCATCTAATTTGCTATAAAATTTTAGGGTTTAGGATTTAGGGTTGGGAATAACAGAATCGTGCTAAAATGAAACAAATATATGTCTATTACTTTCAAGAATAGACATACTAGCTCTAATAAAATACTCTCAAAAAACATGTCACATATCTCTTAAGTATATTCACAACTCTTCTTAGTTGTGCTATGATATCTGATGATAGAAAGCATTACAAGTTTGTTTATTATAGAATTTTGTTTAATGATTACCATTATAAGAATATTTCCACGATATATTTTCATAAATAAATTAAATGTAAACACTTTATAGTACTCTCTTTTTAACCACCAAAATCGGTGGGGTAAATGTCGGGTAACATTTAACAAGTTTTATTAAAATATAGAAGTGTACAGAGCAGAGAGGTTAACCGATTTTGTACCGGTTAATAAAAATCTTATTAGAGCGTTTCTTAAAAGTTGAGCGACGAGGGTGGGGACTTGTAGAAATTAAAAATAAAAAACCGGAATATTTTTTAGATTCATGCACCCGAGGACACTTTTTTTAATTAAAACCTTCAAAATTTTGTAATAGAATTTGTGTTTTTGAATTTGTTCTGATAAGATTTAATTGGGTGATCTTTAGAAACGAATAACGAGCAATCAAGCAGTGTTGTGGTAGATTGTGAATGAATTAACACAATAAACTTATAAAGGTTTTTTAGGAAAGACTTTAAATGAATTAACTTTACAAAAAACGTTGAGGGATTTATTGACATGCTAAGTGAGAATTGAGATTCATGAGTTCATGTCTATCTACTAGAATATATGATGTGATGTAGGGGTGGACTCGGGCCGGGTAAACCGTCTTGGAACCGGCCCGGCCCGCTACAGTAATGAACTGACCGGACTGGTCCGGGCCGTGTGCTATATAACTGAACCGGCCATTCTCGGGGCGGGCTCCGGGTCCCCAGAAAATGAACCGGCCGGGTCGGGCCTCTAACGGTGACAAAATTTAAAAAAAACAAAAGGCTCCTCCTATCCGTTTGGAACACTCCCAAACGGCTCTATAGCCGTTGGGGGTGGGGGATGGGGGTAAAAAAAAAAACTATAAATACTCCTATTTTCTAAACAATTTTCTACATATCTTCTCCAACTCTTCCTACTCTCTATTCTCTAATATTCTTAATCATCTCCATCTTCATCTTCTTCAATTCTCTCTATCACTACTAGAAAAATGCCTTACAGTGACACCAAATTAGTGTCACTGAAAGTTTCTGTGACACTAAAAAAGTGTCGCTGAAAGTGGGGGCTAGTGACACTACAAGTGACACTTTTTAAGTGTCACTACAAGTGTCACAGAATTGTGACACTACGATATCACAATATAGTGACACATTGGCGACATAACTATTCGACGACACTTTTACAGCATATACTCTAGTGAAACTAAAGTATCACTAAATAGTGATACCTTGACGACATAACTATTTGGCGACACTTTTACATCACATATTCTAGTGACACTGCAGTATTTAAAAATCCATTTCAATTATATTTTAAAAATTCCAATTCAATATTAACTAATCCCATAAACGATAATAAAGTCAATAAATCTCAAAACATGGATTCAACGTTTAAAGCATAATAATCATTTGAAGCTCAAGGTTACATTGTTGTTGAACTTTGCATATATTCTAAGGTATGCAAACCCGGAAAATGTTCTGCTGAAAAAAAAACGACAAAAAAAAAACCAACATTCAACACCAAAGTGAGTCGCCTGCACGTCCTACATACATATAGCAAAATTAATCGAACAATGTTGATAACAATTTGTAAGTATACAATGCCTTCACACATCATCAAATTGATCTTCATAGCAGCATCATTTCCCCTTCTGTTCAAGAGAAAACACTTCTTCCACTTCGAGAGAACAACCCTGAGGATTATTTT